GTCTTTTCAGGGGCTGCAACATGCTATGGCAGGCACTTCTCTCATTGTGGTAAAGCCGGGGGGATGATATGGAACGAGCTGAAGCTGCAGCAATGCAAGAAATCAGCAAGGCCTGTTAGATGATATAGGTTGTTGGGCCATGCGCCCGCGTTGCCGTGTATCACGGCATGTAATCTTGGCTGTTACTATAACTTGTATGCTAAGTATAGAATAGATAAGTATAGAATAGATTAGATTAGATCAAGGTGTATCAATCTGTTGTAAACCATTCCATGTAAGTGCCACGGCAGGGGCTCTTCCTGTCATATATATAACAAGGAGCCGAGAGACCGGAGAAGGTCATCTCGTTCACCCTATTTCGTTTTTCATGGTACCAGAGCCATACACGCCATAAACTTCATCCATGGCGTTTTCATCTTCATCTGCGCAGTCTGCGGCGGCGTTTCTCGGTCTCATGTTCATCCCTGTGACCGAGAAGCTGACCCGGAACAATTACCAATCCTAGAAATCCCAAGTCCTCGCGGCGATCAAGGGAGCCCAAGCCGGGAAGTTCATCGCGGCAGGAGCCGTCCCACCCGTTGAGCTCCTGGAGCCCAAGAATGAGAAAGAGCCACCAGTCTCCAACCCAGAGTACGAGAACTGGGTGGCCAAGGATCAACAGGTTCTGAGCTACCTGTTGAATTCGCTCTCCAAAGAGATCCTCAGTCAAGTCTCGGCTGAGGTGACTGCGTCGGCGGCATGGGCCAAGATAGAAAGCATGTTCGCGTCCCAATCACGGGCGCGGATCATCGCGACGCGAATGGCACTTGCCACCGCGTCGAAAGGTTCCTCCTCCATCAGCGACTACCTCGCCAAGATAAAGGGGCTTGCTGATGACATGGCATCAGCAGGCAAGAGTCTTGAAGATGAGGAGTTGATCTCCTATATTTTGACTGGTCTCGACATCGACTATGACCCAGTCGTCTCGGCGGTGGCGGCGCGCGTCGAGCCCATCAACGTGTCTGATCTGTACACGCAGCTCATTAGTCATGAGCAGCGCATGGAGTTGCGCAACAACAACAATGGCGGAGGACATCAATCCTCGGCAAATGCTGCGTCCAGAGGAGGTCGTGGTGGTGGAGGCTCCCCCGTGGTCGCGGAGGGCGCAACGGCAACTATGGAGGACGCGGCGGTCGTGGTGGTACTGGTCGTGGCAATGGAGGCCGTGGCCAGAACCCTAACACGTCCTTTGAACCAGGCGTGTACTGCCAACTCTGTGGCAAAGAGGGGCACATGGTGGTGCGTTGCTTCAAGCACTTCAATCGTGACTTCACCGGGCCGCCGCAACGGAGTGCATCCGCGGCAACTAGCTCCTACGGCGTCGACACCAACTGGTACGTCGACTCGGGGGCAACCGACCACATCACCGGCGACCTGGAGAAGCTGACCGTTCGCGATCGTTACCATGGTAGTGATCAAGTCCATGCAGCGAATGGATCAGGTATGGAGATAGACCACATTGGTCATAGTGTGTTGCAATCCTCTAATGGCAAAATCAATCTACAAAACATCCTTCATGTGCCTAAAGCTGACAAAAGTTTAATCTCTGTTAACCGCTTGACTCGTGATAACAATGTTTTCATTGAATTTCATCCAAATCATTTTTCTATCAAGTAACAGCAGACGAAGAAAACGGTTCACAGTGGCAGATGTGAGCGTGGCCTTTATCCCTTGAAGCTGTCGAATAAACAAGAGCCTGGTGGTGTGAAACATGCTCTTGGTGTCGTGAAACCATCCTGTTCTTTATGGCATTCTAGGTTAGGTCATGCGTCTACTCAAGTTGTTCAGAAAATAATTAGTCGTCATAAACTTCCTGTTTCTAAAGATTCAAGTCATCAAGTTTGCAATGCTAGTCAGCAAGGCAAATGTCATCAATTGCCTTATAATCATTCTAGTACTATTTCGTCAAATCCTATGGATCTTATTTTTTCTGATGTGTGGGGGCCGGCGCCTACTTCTGTAGGACGGCATACATACTATGTCAGTTTTATCGATGATCACACTAAATTCGTTTGGATCTATCTGTTGCGACAGAAATCAGATGTTTTCAAGTGTTTCACCGAGTTTCAGCACTTAGTTGAGCGACAGTTCAATAAGAAAATTAGATCTATTCAAACCGATTGGGGGGGGAGTACCAATCCCTAAATTCCTTCTTTAAGCGGATCGGACTAGTTTATCGTGTTTCCTGTCCGCACACACATCAACAGAATGGTGTTGCAGAAAGGAAACATAGACATATAGTCGAAGTGGGTTTAACTCTCCTTGCTCATTCGAGTATGCCTCTGAAATTTTGGGACGAGGCATTCCTTACTGCTGTTTTTCTCATCAACCGGCTCCCATCTAGAGTTATGAACAATGAAACTCCCTATGAGCGCTTGTATGGTCATACACCTGACTATAGCTTTCTACGCACTTTCGGCTGTGCGGTTTGGCCAAATCTAAGACCATATAACGCTCATAAACTTCAATTTCGTTCCAAACACTGTGTGTTCCTCGGATACAGTAATATGCATAAGGGGTTCAAGTGTTTAGATCCTTCAGAAGGTCGTGTCTATATCTCTAGAGATGTTACGTTTGATGAATCCATTTTTCCCTTTTCCGAGCTTCACCCAAATGCTGGAGCAAGACTTCGCTCCGAGATTTCTCTCTTACCAGACACATTGCTCAATCCAAATGCCAGTCTTGGGGATGCAACATTACTTGACAATGTTCGGTGTACTCCTGTGTCTACTGACTCTGCTACGAGTTCTACTCAAAATCCTGATTGTGCAGAATCTGAGGCTGATCCGGCGGCGGGATCATCTTTGGGATCAGCGGCATCCGATCTGTTGCCGGGTCCGATCAGGGTGCCAACGTCCTCGCCTGGTGGTGCGCCTGCGCTCGACGGCGGGTCTTCTGCGCCCCAAAACGACGGAGCTCAAGTTAATTCACAAGCTGTTTTGCCGCAGCTTGATCCGAACACGGGAGACAGCACGCCGACCGGATCTGCTGATCCTGGAGCAAGCGGATCATCTACATCAGCTGATTCTACATCAGCTGATTCTGTGGCCGCGCCTGCTCAACGTCCTATTACACGTCTTCAGCGAGGAATCAGTAAGCCAAAGATTTACACTGATGGTACTGTACGTTGGTGCAACAATATTGTATCATCTACAGGTGAACCTGCAACACTTGCTGAAGCACTGGGTGATCGAAATTGGGTTTTAGCTATGGATAGTGAGCATCAAGCACTACTTCGTAATAGGACTTGGCACTTGGTTCCACGCCCTAAAGGGAAAAATATCATAGGTTGCATGTGGGTTTACAAAATTAAGAGGAAAGCAGATGGGACAATTGACAGGTATAAGGCACGATTAGTAGCAAAAGGTTACAAGCAACAATATGGTATCGATTATGAAGATACTTTTAGTCCTGTTGTGAAAGCTGCTACTATACGACTAATCTTGTCCATTGCTGTCTCAAGAGGTTGGTCCTTGCGACAACTCGATGTGCAGAATGCCTTTCTTCATGGTGTGCTGGAGGAAGAAGTTTACATGCAGCAACCACCTGGTTATACTGATAAGTCACATCCCAGTTATGTGTGTAAATTGGATAAAGCTTTGTATGGATTGAAACAGTCACCAAGAGCATGGTATGCATGGCTCTGTGGCAAGCTGAAAGAGTTGGGGTTTCAGTCATCCAAAGCAGATACATCCTTGTTTTATTATAATAAAGGAGGACATACTTTATTTGTTCTTGTTTATGTGGATGACATTATAGTTGCTAGTTCTTCACAAGCAGCTACTGATGTTCTACTAAGAGATTTGCAGGCAGAGTTTGCACTCAAAGATCTCGGTGATTTGCATTACTTCCTAGGTATTGAAGTTAAGCGGTTGGAGGACGGTCTGATACTCTCGCAGGAGAGATATGCAACCGAGATACTCAGCAAGGCTGGTATGAGGAATTGTAAACCGATCAATACTCCTTTGTGTACTTCGGAGAAGCTAAGCATTACTAGTGGTGACAAGCTCGGGGAGGAAGATTCTACCAGATACAGGAGTATGGTGGGAGCTCTACAATATCTCACTCTTACTAGGCCTGATCTTTCCTTTGCAGTTAACAAAGTGTGCTAGTTCTTGCATGCACCGACTACTGCTCACTGGATTGCTGTGAAGCGAATCTTGCGATATGTGTGTGGTACACGCAACATGGGTTTGAAGATAAGAAAGTCAAAGTCCATGCTGGTGAGTGCCTTCTCAGACGCAGACTGGGCTGGGTGTGTCGACGATAGGCGATCCACTGCCCGGTATTCTTGGGGGGTAATTTAGTCTCCTGGTGTGCACGTAAACAAGCTACAGTCTCACGATCCAGTACAGAAGCAGAATATAAGGCACTTGCAAATGCTACGGCGGAGATGACATGGGTTCAGAAGCTTTTGCAAGAATTAAAGGTATCCCATCCTCCTGCGGCAAGGTTGTGGTGTGATAACCTTGGTGCTAAGTATTTATCAGCAAATCCTATTTTTCATGCTAGGACGAAGCATATTGAAATAGATTTTCACTTCGTCTGAGAACGGGTTGCTCAGAAATTGCTTGATATCAGATTCATAAGCACAGCAGATCAGATAGCAGATGGTTTCACAAAGCCACTGTCGGCAGCCAAGCTACAGAGTTTTCGGTTCAATCTCAACCTCAGAAGTGGCTGAGATTGAGCGGGGGTGTTAGATGATATAGGTTCTTGGGCCATGCGCCCGCGTTGCCGTGTATCATGGCATGTAATCTTGGCTGTTACTATAACCTGTATTCTAAGTATAGAATAGATTAGATTAGATCAAGGTGTATCAATCTGTTGTAAACCATTCCATGTAAGTGCCACGGCAGGGGCTCTTCCTGTCATATATATAACAAGGAGCCGAGAGACCGGAGAGGGTCATCTCGTTCACCCTATTTCGTTTTTCAAGGCCATCAGCCTCATCAACGAGGATGAAAGGGGTGAGAATGAAGATGGAACAGAAATACAATAAATTAGTAGGATCAAGCATTGCAGGGATGGTGTATATGTGCAAGCATCTAGTCTTGGAACCTTGGAAGCAGATTATTAAACATTTGAAGGCGCTTGCTTTGGATGTTCCTGTCAGTGGTTGCAACTTAGGCCCAGTCCACAAGCAGGATGTCATGAAAGCAACTGCCATACTGAAGAGGAAAGAAGAGTATGTAGCCATCTTGGCCTTTGATGTCAAAGTAATGCCTGAGGCTTTTGAACTTGCAGCTGAATCGGGGGTGAAGATTTTTATGGCTGATACAGTATACAAGCTTGTTGATAGTTTTACTGATCACATTAATAAATTGAAAGAAGAGATGAAGAAGCAATGTGCAGCTGACGCAGTGTTCCCATGCACCCTTAGGATTCTTCCAAACCGTGTCTACCATAGCAAGGATCCAGTTGTTTGTGATGTTGAAGTTCTGGAAGGCATTGTCAAGGTACTTTCGTAGCCCAGTGCTCTGAAGTGTATTTATTCGTAATTATATTTTTTTGTGTTAGGGTATTTGAGTGGAATGCAAATCCATTACAACCAGTTACATCTTTGTTCAGCATTTCTCTTATTTTAAAGATTCAGTCTTTGAATGTTGATTCATAAGTCTTGCAAAATTGATTACTAGATAGAGGTGTTAATGAGTGGTTACTTGTGACTTGTTTCAGGTGGGAACCCCAATTTGTGTTTGTGTTCAAAGTAAGGATAGCAGTGCTGATGTGATTCATGCCCTTGGGAGGATCTCATCAATGAAAACATCCAATGGCATGCAGATCAATTCTGCCAGTAATGGAGTTGTGTCATTAAAGGTAAGAGCCTTAAACATAATTTGGTAGTTACGACAGGTGGCAACATCAAAGACAACAACACTAATGAATTTCATTGCCACTACCAGATAATTGAAGGCCGGGCCTGGTGCAAGCGGTAGAGTCTTACCGTCTGTGACCGGAAGGTCCTGGGTTTGAGTCGCGGTCTCCTCGCATTGCACAGGTGAGGGTAAGGCTTGCCACTAACACCCTTCCCCAGACCCCGCACAGAGCGGGAGCTCTCTGCACTGGGTACGCCCTTTTACCAGATAAGTGGAGAGAATCCTCACGAGAGGTCCCGGGTGTATGGACGCCATTTTAACTCTGACAATGAGCTGCTCAGCCAAATCTCTAGGAAATCCATTGATGTGCTGAAGGAGTACTATCGGGTAAGTTGGTAGTGCTAGTGATGTTATTGAGCTTGGGGCAAGCTATATAAATATTCTTCTTGTTGCCAGAACTCATGTGGATATTCTTGTTGCAGGATGAGATGAGTGATGAAAACTGGCAACTGATCCGCAGGCTAAAGAAACAATTGGGGATCCCCTGAATCCTTTGAAAGATTTTTATACTATCATTTCCCTTTCGAGTAGAGACCTGTAATCAATTTAAGTTTTTATGTTTTGATTGTGCATGGAGACAGCTTCATTTTTTTTGGGTGTGTTTTAGATTTGTTCATGGAGACTCACTTTGAGTGGCTACTTGTGTGGTTTGGAGACTTTTCTGTTATATTCTGGATATGTTGAAATAAAAAATATATGCTGGACATGTTGAAATTGCTGAAAGTTCCTCTAGTTGTGCGTACTATCTTGATAAACTGAACTTCTGTGCAATCTGGTTACAATGAATTTAGCATTGGTATCAAATCCCTTCCCATGCCCTGCTGAAGCCATGAGAACTGCACCAGCGATGATGAACATCGACAGCATGGAAAAGAGCAACAGGAATGTCTTTCTCGATGACCTTCGGTATTCCCCAAAGAGGATGACACCCCAAAATGTGCTTACAAGGGGCAGCGCCTGATCATGGAACACCAGATTACAGTTGAATGAGATTACAGTTGCCAGGAATTACTGAAGCTGTGATGGATGTGAAAGAGAATACCTGGACTGCATCAGCAGCCGCGTACCCAGAAGCCTGGCCGCCCATGAACTGAAAACCGTTCCCAAAACCACAGAGCAGCCCTGCTAGGAGGGCCCAATGCCTGCCGTTCCAGTCCCTGGCGTATGCTCCGGCGGTCGATGCCGGCACACCGGCCATAGGGTGATACAGAAGCCAGACGTTGAGGCAGGCTCCGAGCACGAAACACGACACCGAGAAGTAGAAGAAGGCGGTGTAGACCACCAGGTGAGGGACACCCTTCCTGAGGGCACGCCACTGGTCGTTGGTGGCCAGGTTGATCGCCGGTGAGAAGAGAGAGAAGCAGGCTCCGGCGAGGAAAACCAGACCGAGGCCTAGCAATTTGCTGGAGCCAAACACCTGCGTCAGAAAAGCACAACGTGTTAGTGATGCTGCTGAATTTGTTCAAGCTTCATTCAGTTTTATTATTACTATAGAAGAGAGCAACCTTGATTGACCGTCTCTCCTCGACCTGGATGATGAACTCTGCAGTGCCTGGTTTCGCCTCATTGGAAGCGCTGTAATCTCCTTCACTGCCGTTCTTCGATTCTTCAGGAGCAGGCAGCAACTTCGCTGAAAAAACAGAACAAATTTTCTTCTAAGCTCGATGTCTGCACTCCTGCAAATATGTGTTCATCTTCCAGATGTTCAAACACTACCTTCGTCAGAAAATTCACTGCTGAGCTCGATGTCTGCACTCTTCCTGCAAATATTAGAGCTTCTTGACACATGCTTCTCAACAGAAATGCAGATTATTTGTTCAGAAGAAGAAATGGCTGTCTGACATGCTTAGCTTCTGTTCATCATCCTTGGCATTGGAAGAATGGACTGCTGCGCCAAGGAACACCGCGACAAGGAAGCACACAACACCTGGGAAGAGTATCTTGGCTCGATTGATGCGACCATCGAGAAAATAATTTATGGTCGTACCTGCACATGAACGATGTGCCAACACCAGCAATGCCAAAACCAATTTCATACTGATGAAGGATTCGGAGATGTATATGTATGCACCTAAAACAACTGTCATGCTTGAGCAGATGACGTTTGTCACTGAGACCGGCAAACGCCCATGCGTACTGTGAGACAAGGTTCCCAAGACTTAGGGCGAGGCCTCCGGCCATTGCGATTACGACTGAAGGCCAATTATCCTGCATCTGCCATGGCATTGCAGACAGAATGTGCTGAAGATAGTCAGGAGCGAAGTTTGGTGCTTACTAAGTGGCTGTTTGGATGAGCTAGAGCTAGCTAGCAGTTAGGGCTAAAAATTAGCTCAAATTAGCTAAAATTGGCTAGCTAGCTGGTTAACAACTAGTTGAAGAACTGGGCTACAAAATTAGTCACCTATTAGCCCTTCTGTTTGAATGCACTAGGACTAATTTTAACTAATTTTTAACTCGCTGGCAATTAGCTGTCGTATCCAAACGTGACCAAAGTCTCTTATATGGGAATGGTTAAACATGCAAACAGTGTGGCTGCAACGCTCAATTTTTCAGAAGCATCAGGGCCCCCTTGGTTTGGAAAAAGTTAATTTACTACCGAAAGGGAAGGCATGCCCGTCAAACTCAGATTAGCAATTTCTGACAATCCTAAGGGATCCAGAACACTGACCTGGGTCAGCTGAGTGAAGAAGTCTGGCCTGCTATCTCTAGCCTGCCCAAACGCGACGGCCATCAGGACGGCGGCGAGGAGGTTGGTGATGGAGTAGTCGAGGTAGGTGTGCTGAGGCAGCCGGCCTCTGCGCTCCAGCAGCGTCAGGAGAACTGGCCATGTGCCCAGGAGGAAGAGGGACGCCAGCATCAGCGCGACTGCACCACCGCCCCTGTCCTCCACGGCGACGGGCATCTCGCCCGACAGCGACGGAACAAGAACCGACGCCGAGGGATCTTTGATGTATGCGCAAGATGCAGTGCGACGCTGAAGAAGTACAGGGAGATCTCGCCCATCTTGGTCAAGCAGGCATTTTGACCTGACAAGGGAGATGATGCTGTAGAGTGTGCTGTTATTTGAATAAAAGATTCGTTTGAGTTCTGAAGGTCTTCTCCTGCGGTTATGGACTCCGTGATTTTTTTTGGCAGCTGTGTTTGAGCATATTTTTCGTTCAGAGAAAAAGAATTGTACAAACTTACAATCCTACTCAAGTAGGCTTACTAGTTAGCCAGACCTATCTCGACGGTGCCTGGACGTCTGAAATGACGTGCATACGGACGCGCGCGCAGCCCCTGTCCGCTGATATTTTCCCACACCTCACGCGCACCCCGCCCCGTCGCAGCGCCCGAGCGTCCGAACGACTCGCCTCGCACACACAGCTCGCTCTGTCCGTCTCGATTCGAGACCGTTCGCCTTGTCTCGCATGTGCACCGTACCCCGCCCCGTCGAGCCCCGACCGTCGGCCCCTAGCTCACCGCACGCGTACCGTGCCACTATCACTCCTCGCGACTCTGGACTCTCCGAACAACATAAAAACACATGCAACAAGAACACACACTTGCAATTATATGTGTAAAACATATGCAATATCTAATTAAAATACTTGCAACTTGCAACATGAAAACGCTACAACTTACAACATATGTCTGGAACAGATGAAACATTTTGAACAACATCGATGAAACATTTGCAACATGCCTCTAAAACACTTACAACATATGCAACATCCTCGATCTACATTTGCAACATCCATATGAAGAAATTGCAACATGTACCTCTTAAACGTCTGAAATACTTGAAACATACACTTGCAACATGCGTTTTCAGCGTAACATTTTCTTCTTTGGTCGCGCGTTGCGGTGGCCATGGAGTTGACAGCGCCACGACCTTCCGGTGGGGAACGACGGCGTCGGCAGCACCTCGGTAGCACCCTAGCAGCACCTTGGCGCATGCGGGGGGCGGACACACGGCAAGCAGCAGCGGGGTGTGGCGTGGCGCGCATAGCGAGCTGGAGTGGGCACGGTGGGGGATGGAGCGCGACACAGCAACGAAGGGGGCGCGGCGCAAAATAGGGGCGCGGCGCTGGATGGAGGAGCCACGTGGCGCGGGATAGGGTGCGCATCGAGCGCACGGCGCAGCTGCTTGCAATGGACGAGCACAGGAGTAAAAGATATTTTTTTAGGGAGAGATGGGAGAGACAAAGAGGAAGCAGGCCTGTTGGGCCGGTAGCGTGCAGGCCCTGCAAGCGGCGTCCAGATGGATGGACGCCCGCTGTTAAGCATTACCGGACCAATCTGTGCAAGACTAGTTTGAGAAGAATTTTTCTTAAAGTGTCACCAGGGGATGAATCCCCAACTGAATAATACTGATATATTATCAGCAGCCTCATTTTTTTATAACAAGGCAAAACCCCTTTCGATTAATTTTGAAAAACAAAACTAAAACCATACAACAACGTTAGCACAAGGGGATGTTTTTTCTATTTTTAATCCTGTATTATTCAATATTTTAATAATAACTGCTCCTAACTTTTTTTAGCAAATCTGAACCTTTTGGTTGCGCCCGCGCTGCTGGCGCGACGAAATAACATTGTCGCGCCACATGCATTGGCGCGTCAACATATGACACGTTAGACGGCGTTTCCGACGTGGAAAAACCTTGTCACGCCACTTCTGTTGGCGTGATCGTTTTGTCGCGCCATCGGGAGTGGCACAATAAGACTGAACCTTAGAAAAATCATAAATTGTCGAACGACATTGGATAAAGATGAATTTTATATCAATATTGTAGCCCTCGAAAAGATCTACAAGGTTTTTCATTCGAGGACGTTAAGAAGCTCAAAAAATAATATAAACAAGAGCATAATAATCGACTAATGCTTATCGCATTAGAAAAATAATATCTTTTTTTGTATAATGTCAAATGAAGATACTCTTTACATCAAAGTTGTAGCTTTCAGCGAGATCTACAATTTTAGAGTTTGGAGTTGTTACATTTATGATCGTTAAGATGCTTGAAAAAATAATAGAAAATTTCAGCAGCATATATAATCGCGTACTAGGATTTGTGGAATTAGAAAAATAATATTCCCCGTTCCAAATTATAAGTCACTTTAAATTTTTTGGTACATTCATTTTGTTATGCATCTAGATATAGTAATATGTCTAGATACATAGCAAAATGGATGAACAAAAAGTCAAAGCGACTTATAATTTAGAACGGAGGGAGTATCATTTTTGTATGGTGTCAAATGAACATACATCTTTTATCAAAGTTGTAGCTCTCAATAAGATTACAACTTTATAGTTTTGAGTTTTTATATTTGAGATGGTTAACATACTCTAAAAATTAATAAAAAGTTTTACCTGCATATTAATCATGCATTAGGTCTTGTCGTCTTACTAAAATTATATTTTTCCTGTAAAGTGTCAAATGAAGATACTTTTTATATTAAAGTCGTATCTAACTATGAGATCAACAACTTTTTAGTTTTGAGGTCTT